GGGGGGGTGTGGCAGCCCTGCATCATGTATATGTATTATACACATGTATGTATGTGTATATACAGATATCCCAATACATGTAAGGTAACTAGCAATGTGACTAATGTGACTGTGATGTAATGTAATGTAACGTAATGTAATGTATACCGAAATCTATACCTCTATGCCTCTATCTATCCCAGCCCAGTGTCGGCCTCGCAGGCCGCCACGCTCGCGCCGAGGGCCACTGCATTGGCCTCGAGCTGCCGCTCCTGCACGGCACTTCTTAGGAGCCTTAAATGATGGTGTGCATCGGGTTTTCAAAGGATTTAGAAGGTTGCTATAGGATGGTTTTAGGGGGTCGTCCTTGCGATGACCCGAGGCTTCGGAATATTTTGGAGTTGGCGGGTTTGGTTGGAATGCGAGACACTCAGGAAAACAAGAAGACTGACTGTTTCTTGTGGGTAGATTTCGATGCCGTGTGCAAAAAGACGGCATTGCTGGCTTCGCTTGACTGCCGGAATACTGCAGCGGTCCACGGCATGCCACTGCTGACAGTGGCATGCTACGATGCTGACCGGGCCTTCGTGATCATTTGTTCATGCATGTATGTAGTCCTTCATTCATGCATCCATGCATCCATCCAGCCATGAAGCCATGCATGCTGCATTCATGTGGTCATTCATTAGTTCGGTCGTTGATTCCATGTCATGTCACTTCACTTCGGTTAATCTCAGCTTCATCTCCTCTCACCTTAGTTCATTGCATTCCATTCCATTTGATTCATGTTGTCATGGTTTTTGGCTCGAACGATGTTCCATCCATCGATCCATCCATCCATCCATCCATCCATCCATCCATCCATCCATCCATCCATCCAGCGATTTACTCCTAAACTCTAATTCAAATGTAGGGCCTTACATAATTAGAATAGGGTTTGGGGGCCCATTATGCAAGAATTATAATAAGGAGCCCCAGAATGTTATAAGAAATTATTATTGAGGCACCTATATTAAAAACCCTTTCAAAACCGCGCTTTGTCCTCCAGGCGCTGGAAAAGCAGCAAGGCCCTTTGCCAGCTTCGAGCTCGGTAACAGGCGCTGATCGCCGAGGAATACCCCACCACCTAACCGTGCAGCTACTCAGGGGTTTTAGGGCTTAGGGTTTTAGGAGTTTCAGGGGTTTTAGGCTTGAGGGGTTTTAGGGATTTTAGGGTTCAGTGCCGTTTGGGGGTTTAGGGTTCAGGCGTTCATGGGCTCTGGAAATAGGGCATGCGGAGCATGCAACATCGACAATTTGATTGGAGCAAGGAGCATCGCAATTGCCGCCCTGCTCTCTCTCCCATAGCAGCTGCCAGACCATCTGCCATTGACAGCCAGTTTCGAAGGCCGTGATGACGGCGTTGTGTGAGATCGTATCCGGCTGAAGGCCTGCTAGCTGCATCTTCTGGAACAGGCTCAGTGAATATTCCCATTCGCCAGCTGCCCCGCATGCGCTGACTGCAGCATTGAAGGTAACAGCATTCGGGCGAATGCCAAACCCACCCATCTCTGCTAGCAGAAAGCAGGCCTGCTGCCACTTCTCACACTTCTCGCATGCACTAATGACGGCATTGCAGGCCACCACATCAGGATGTACGTGCCCCTGCATCTCACAGAAGATGTGGAGAGCATACTCCCACTGACCACAGTTTCCGCATGTGCTAATGGCCGCCCCGAAGGCCACAGCATCTGCCGATAACACCTGCAGAGGGAGCACACGATCAGGACGGTGCAGGTCTGCCTTTTTGGGCCCACTTCGTGTGCCTACCAGCAGCTTCCCGGGCGTTGAGTCTTGCACAGCCGAAAGATTAGATGCACAAAGTCCCAGGAAGCCAACCGCGACCCTGCAAACTACATCAAACTACTAGTAGGAAAGTTTGAGCACAAGGCACCGCAAGACTTTCCTTAACCCCTCAACTCGCTCGAGCCATAAAGTCCCAAACCCACAAACCCTGCCTCCCTCCTCTGGCTATCTTCCCTGAGCATCTGAAGCACGAGCAGCGCCTGCTGCCATCTGCCGGCCTCAAGAGACAGAGGAGCGATCATAAACTTCTCTGTGCTAACCCAAGTGCTAGTTGGTTCCGGGTTCACACGACGAAGCGCTCATCATGGAGTAAAACACACATCGTGAACCTTCGGCTCTCCCAACCCCCAAGGCCCATGCACGGCCTTTTCTGTGGCACAGGCACTGATGGCAGCACCGTACGAAGCAGCCGTGGCTAGGTCTTTGTCTCTCAGTGCCTGGCAGCTGTAGAGCAGCAAGGGACTGCATAGACGAAAAAGCGTAGGCTACAAAAATTCCACACGGAGGAATGTATAGCGATAACCTACCCAATTAGGATCTTTGTTTCCCGCATACCCTAACCCCAATCCGCCCCTCCTCCCACCTCCAGGATAGACAGGGCGGCCTCCCAGCGCCCAGCAGCCGCGCAGGCGCTGGCCACGGCGTTGTAGGTGATGACCTCCGCAAGAGGAGTCTGCGACCGACTCGGATTTAGGACCATTTAGGACTTGGAGATTTCGGGCAGTGAGGCTTCCCAGGATTCCTGCAATGTGATGAACGTACGTACCTGCACCGCTGCGGCTCGTGCCTCTTTCGCGGAAACGGAAACCCGGAAGCAAAGGTCAATCCCGAGCCGAGCTTCCCCAGAAACGGATCTAGCCAGTTTGTACTTTCAAGCCGCCTCGGGGCGCAAATGTACTTGCGGAAGCAGGTCAAGCAGCACCATGGCTTCCATCCAGCAGCCTCCTCTTGCACAAGCACTGATGGCCGTGTTGTACATGACCTCGGTGTCATGTGAGGCACCTTCGACTCGAACTGTACTTTGCACTGAGAGCAGCCGAGCAGCCAGGTCCGGTTGCATGTCTTCATCTCGGACAGTATGCAGCAGCATCAGGGCACTTTGCCAGCGCTCGCCCTGGCCAAAAGCAGTCATGGTAGCACTGTAAGTAATCACGTCCGCTTGAAGACCAGCTTGGAACAGGCCATCCAGAAGGCATGCCGCCGCCTGCCACTCGCAGGCCTTTTCACAGGCACTGATGGCCGAGTTGTAGATGACAGTGTTGCTCTCAATGCCGTGGTCTTGAAGAAGAGACAGCAATGCAATTGCCTGCGGCCATTGGCGACCCCGTTGGCATGCGCTGATCGCAGCTCCAAAGAGGATCACGTCGGCTTCGAGGCCTTTGGCCAAGAGCTCCGCGAGAAGGCACAGTGAGTGTTGCCATTCGCCTCCTCGCTCGCACGCGCTGATGCACGCGCTGTAGGTGATGACGCTGGGTTGAAGGTGCTCCGCGGCCTCCCTCAGCAAGTCCAGGCCCCTCTGCCACTGACTGGCCCGAGCACACACGCTGATGCAGGAGTTCACGGAGACCAGGTCGGCAGTCAGCCCTTGCAGTTCCAACTCCTTACAGAACTCACTTACACGGCACCCCGTGCCACAACAACAGCACATGCTTCGAAAATTGAGCTGCAGCCTACGTGCTATGGTGGAGCCAAGCTTCCCCAAGCAGTTCAAGGGCCTGTTGCCAGTGCCCCTGCCTACGGCACGCACTGATGGCTTCGTTGAATTGTCGCACTGTCGCAGGTGCAGTCGACGCATGCAACGGCATGCCAGGGGCCCGGAGGGTCGCCCCAGCACCCTCCATGGCCCCCAATTCAACGGTCTTGACCAAAGCAAAAGATGCAAAAGTGCGTAAGGCATCAGCAGCATGCGAAAGCCACATTCGCAGATGCAGTACAAGCTCACCACAAGTTATCTAAAGAGAGCACCCCGGTACGTTGGGGGGGATCAACAGCCCCCTCGGACTCACAAGTTACTTGGAACTGGGAAGGTAAGTGCAACCAACTTGCGTGTGCGCAGGCAGGCCTCCTCACTGTGCAGGAACAGTCGATTGTTCTGAATGCCTCAGTCGTCTAAACCATCTTGCAATTTCAGAACATGACTTTCGACTGCGTGTTTGCTGAATCTTCACTCAACGCAGGTACATACTCTGATAACCTCGCCGGTACGTACTTTTGACTCTTCACTTGCGCTTCGATGGCCAACTGCGCGTAGTTCATCCACTGGTCGCAGTCTGAGGTGAAGCACTGAAGGGCTCTGTGTAGAAGTCCAGCACATCTCTGAGCTTCCTCGCCACCAAGCTGCATGCAGCCAAGGAGGTGAACACATCTTTGCGTGTCGTGCAAATAAGCAGATGTTATTGAACTTGGCATGCGCGGATCTGGATGCGGGATGCAGAGCTTGACACTGAGCAGCTGGAACCACTTTTCTTCGGGTCCTGATGCTGCGCCAGAGGATCCTAGGTTGGTTCCCGCGCAGCAGAGACTCTCCACTCTATTCTGACAGCCACGATGTCAATGACAAGGATGGTGGTGATGATGATGATGATGACGGTGGGATAGTAGTGGTGATGACGACCATGGCGATACGATCATGATGATGATGGTGATGATGATGTTGACGTTGACATTGGCATTGTAGATGATGATGATCATGATGACGACGAAGATGAAGATGATGACGACCATGACTAAGACGATAATGATGCCGATGACGGTTGGTGGTGATGGTGATGATGATGGTGGTGATGGCAGTAACGACGATGATGTCGATGGTGACGATATTGGTGATGGAGATGATGATCATGACCAGGATGTTATCGATACGCTGGCGAGCAGCAGAAGGAGCTGGAGCAGGAGGAGTTTCGTTGGTTCCAGTTGCCAATTGCGATCGGTTACCCACGAATAAGGACTGTACTTAAGCTTGTATTATCGCCCCTCCCACTTCAATCTATTTTTCCAGTTTCGCCTCACACCGCATTCACCCACGAAAAACCGACACTGGCGACGACGCCGACTACTACCAAGTTCCCATCGTTTCTCTGCCGATGCTTGCAATCACGAGTCGAATGAATCCTAGCATGCTCGAAAGCTTTAGCCGTAACCTCAGACCTTTCAGCCCGAGCTCCGAACCACGAATCCTGCACCCTAACATCCCTACACTCCTCCGGAAGATTCGGAATACCTCATGAGCTTCGAGCCAAGGCTGCCAGTGGAAGGAGGATCTGCGGTAGCCTTCACGACCACAGGATTGAAATTTCTACCGTTGTCTTGGCTTGTGGCTTTGAGGAATAACTTTTCGGCTGGAGGACGGGAAGGAGTAGTGAAAACATGCTTGGCCGTGGTGAGAAGCATGCTGTGCATGCCTGCAAGCTCTGTCAACCCATATCTTGGAAGACCGATATCCACGTCTTCACGAGCAGGGACAGTAAACTGCCGCAATAATCGTTTGGTCTCCGCCGACTGCAATGCTGATTCATAGGGACCACACTTTCTAGCTGCACATAACCTAGCAATCACGAGCACAAAAATGACACCAGAAACCCAAGCACACACACGCACACAAGGACGTACACCAGAACGAGCACGACAGAAACAGCAGCGCATCGGTCGAGCACAAGAAAGGCCCTAGGACGAGTATGTCATTCTTGCTGTTCTGGGATGCCGGTGAAGTGCTGCCGTGGCAGACCACTTCCATATGCAATGGAGAAAGATATTACATTATAGACATGTGCATGGGAGTTAGTTGCAGGTCATGGAACGCGTCTCGATTCTCTCGCTGCCTGTGCCGCCTGCGCTGTTGGTCACGCTGTGGGTCAGGTAGTTCAACCTCCCAGCAGCACGAACTCAAAAAGAAGACTAACATACTCCAGAGGTGGCCCATGTTGTGAACATTTTGCTGATATGAATCCATTGCTACTCTCAGAGGCCCCTACAATACACATCTCATGCAGGGAAGAGCTGAGCTCCGCAGACACTCCAAGAGAGCTGAGTCGACGACTTTGCTCGCGACGAGGGCACGGGCAACAGGTAAGGCCTCACACCACCCTAAACCCTAAACCCTAAAGCCTAAAGCCCTAAACCCTAAAACCCTAAAGCCCTAAACCCTAAAACCCTAAACCCTACATCCTTTATCCTGGGAAGCGAATCAGACCGAGCGATGCAAACACACCCAAATCGAGCAGCAACAAAGCTTGAAAAAAGGCCAAGGCTGACCGAAACAAACTCTTCTTGCTGCATAACTCAATCCAAGGTTTCTGGTTCAAGATATGCGGTTTAGGTAAACTGAATGCCGTCGTTTCAGGAGGAATGATGCTGTCTGGGAGTGCTCCCCTTTTGAAACCCCACCCCACCCCAGCGAGGTTTGCTCCACTTAGCGTCTATCAGCACCGCTGGGGGGAAGGTCATCTAGAACAAACGCATCCCTCGAGGCTCTCCTCAAGCGCAATATAAGGACCTTCTCATACGAAGAGTAGAACAGGCAAGATAATTTTTTCGAGAGGATGATGCTATCTTCCACTTGTTCCATAAAAGACCTTTAGAGACTCGTCTTGGCATCTATTCAAGCCCCTATACTAAACCTTTCTAATAACCCTGATGGAACCCTTTCAAGGAACCCTATTCCAACTATCTATTACGGCCTCTATAGTAGTGAAGGCGAGGCCCTTGCTTCTCGTACTTCCTGTGCCAGTTTTGAAGTGTCCTCAGGACAGCGGTATGCGATTTTGGCTGTGGCTTTCTGTTCACGTGAAACAGGATCATCCCTTTTAGGCTCCTTATAGCTGGTTCTGTTCAAAGGGGGCTTGCAACTTGGCACCAAGTAGCTATGCAAAGGCTCACACTCAAAGAGCGGCGAACTCTATCTGGGAATCCGCTGATCCCTTGGGCCTTTCGGCTCTCTTTTCAGAGCACTATATCACCTGGCCTGACGACTCTGGGTTTCATGCGCTTCAAGCAGGTTTGGGATTCAGCATGGTGCACAGCGATGTTTGCAGCGGCATGGCGCCCTCACAATATCATATCTCCCCCACATGATCCCTGAACGAAGCTGGGCAACGAGCAAAGTCACTGCCTTCGGATCCAACGCTAGCTCCTTCCAGCGGACGATTTGGGATCGGACAAGCTGTATGCTGCGAGCTCTTCGGCATGCAAGCTGCATGACACCTTGAACACACCCACTCACCCACGCAAAGGGACGCACGCATGCTTTCAGAACACTGCATGAACACACGGGCGGGTCTCCGTGGAGGGAGCCAGGGCTTCCAACCTTGCAGCAACAACGAAAGACTGGCGAGTGAGCTCGAATTTGACTGCGGGCTTTGGAGGAGCCTTCGGAATCGAGCAATTACTTAGAAGGACACCTGACTGCTTGGAGACGTTGAAACTGGCTACAGGCGCATCGTCAAGGCCCATGTGCAACATTCATCAACTCTCAGCGGGAGATCTGCTCCACGCTAGCCGGGCTTGCGGCGAGTGTTGTTGACTGGGTGTGGGAAGGAAAGCACTCTCAGTATTGTCGTTGTTGTTCCTGCTGACTACGAATACGACTTCGACTACTATAATATTCTAAGTCTAGCCAAGCTTATCGTCAGTATTATCAACAGCAGAAGTGGCGGAGGCGGTGAGTATACCCAGCAACCACGCTCATTGTGCGAAAATGCTTCGCCCCGGTGGAGACCACACCTGTGCACCGTGAACCTTCCGAAACCCCAAATCAAATCAACAGTGTTGGACTGCCGTAGTGACGTATTCCGGAGCCATAAACATCATCCTCAATTTTTCAGTGGATGATGCTGTCGCACGCACGGAGTAGATGCTGATCTTCTAATTGCTTCTAGTCTTGCAAAGTGTCGTTTCGTCATGCGTCGTCATTATCAGGTACTGCTGTTCTCATGATCACTCAAACCTGCCTGGGTCAGCAGCTGGGCTTCGCACGCTTGCTGAGGCGAGAGTCGCGCGTCCCCAACCAAACGCGGCCCCTGGGTATCTCCGCAGGTCTACGATCAAAGTGTAACAAAAATGATAACAGCTATCCAATGCTGCTGTTGATACACCAGTAGTAGTAGTACCAGTAGTAGTCGTGGTAGACGTAGTCGTAGCAGTAACGTAGTAGTAGTAGTAGTAGACGTAGTCGCAGTAGACGAAGTCGTAGTAGACGTAGTCGTAGTAGACGTAGTCGTAGTCGTCGTCGTAGTCGTAGTAGTAGAAGTAGTAGTAGTAGTAGTAGCAGTAGTAGTAGTAGTAGTAGTAGTAGTAGTAGTCGTAGTGGTTGTAGGTTGTAGGTTGTAGGTTGTAGTTTGTAGTTTGTAGTTTGTAGTAGTAGTAGTAGTAGTAGTAGTAGTAGTAGTAGTAGTAAGTAGTTGGTAGTAGTAGTAGTAGTAGTAGTAGTAGTAGTAGTAGCAGTACAGTAGTAGTAGTAGTCGTCGTAATCGTAGTCGTAGTCGTAGTCGTAGTCGTAGTCGTAGTCGTAGTCGTAGTCGTAGTCGTAGTC